TGCTGGGGGTGGAGGGGGGGGGGGACAAAAAAAGTCAATTTTTTACTCATTTTTTCCCTCCCCAGCCCCCAGGAGCTCTCTGAAAGCCTCCATAAGGCTATGCATGGCAATTTTTGTGAAGGGGTCAGTTGTCAAATATCTCTAAGTAAATCATGTGGGAAGGCTGCAGCAGTCATAAGTATGAAACTCACTTTTTTTCAGCACCATGCTAACATTGAACAGCCACTAAATGAACTGCTGCAAATTGAGGATTACCTGTATTCCTAAAGCAATGAATCTCAAACTACCATTTTTTCAATTTTATTTTAAAAGCCCAAAGCCCATGTTGGAACACTAAACCAAAATCAGTATATTTTACTGTAAAGATGAAAAACATGTGAAACACATCATTAGGAAAGTCACACCTTCTGCACTCAATATTTTAAACTAGATCTTCTTCCATTTAATCTTATTAGTCCATGAAGGGTGGGCAGAATCAGGACTGGAAGGGGAAAATGTAATTCGGAATACATGTTGGTGCAATATGCAGTCCTGTCAGTAATATTTTAAATCAAAGTTGTCTTTTCCCAAGATCATGACGTAGTTCCTAAACACGGCTGAGTCTTGAAGAACTGCTGTTAAATGTTTTTGAAAAGCTCTTCATGCATGCCCACATAGACTCCAAATTTATTTTCGGTTTTAAACTTGGATTTCTGCACAGGTCTGTTACTTATGCTCTTGCAGATTTTTTTTTCTCCCAACTGATTACATTATCAACTTTTTCCATAATTTCACATAATCAATAAAACAGAAATAAAATAAGAGTCTTTTTTGCCTTGATGTACAATATCGTTAACATAAGAACTTCTCCAGGTTCTAAGATTTACTTCAGAGATATTCCTTCAAACTTATTCACCACTAGGAAGAATAAATTATGACTGATGAAAGACCCATTTTATGGAATATCTCTAGATATGTCTAGATAAGAGATACATCAATAATGGTGTCTTCCTAACAAGAAATGCATTATTCTCTAAGTGACTTGAATGCCTTATTTTTGTGTAATAATTTTTTTGTCAAGCAGTGTTACTTCTTTGTTAAACATATAGCCAGAAGCTCAGCAAGGAATAGGTAGCATTCCCTCTTTCCAGTTTTTCCAACTACCCTATGAAGTAGATTAAGCACAGAGAGGGGGATTGCCGCAAACTCACTCAGTAAGAGTCTGAGGCTGAGAACAGATTACAAACCAGGTCTTCCCACTTCTAAACCAATGCTTTTATCACCACACTACGGTAAATGGTAAAATGGCTCTTTTACCATTTGCAGTAGATTTTTGTTTTGCTACAACCCAATTAAGAATAGAGAAGCAAGCAATAGAAGTTGAAAACATAGTTATCTGTTTAATTAAAAAATGAACATTTTACCTTGGACAACAACCTGACTCCCAGGTACGAAGAACTGTTGAGTGCCATCAGGTGTTTGAGCTGCATATTGTACAATCGTAGCACCAGGTTGAGGAGCTCCTGAATTTGTCATCGTTAATGTTTGTAGTCCTTGAACACCATCAGATGCTGGATTGGAAATCTGGATGGTTCCACCTTGGGCTATAGCAACTAAATAAAAAATAAATACTATGTAAGACATCAGCAATAGAGATGAAAACACTTTAATTTAGTTGCTCCCAAAGAATGTTTAAGGGCAGGATGATATGAATGACCAATATCCAGTACAAAACAGTACACACACACATGCACACACGCACACAAACCAGTCTACAAAACTGACTCACAATGCCTATTACTGAGGGCAACACAATATTCTGTGGGAGGACAGTTTCCCTCTCTTTCACCCTATGTTTTTGTTTTAACTCACCATTTATTAACACACATTCTGTTTAAAACTATATAACAACTACTATTTTTTCTTATGGAAAAGTTTTACAGGTAGTCCTCAACTTGCGAACATTTATTTAATGGCCATTCAAGGTTACGGCAGCACAGGGGAAAAAGGGATTTACAACTAGTCTCCACAATTAAAATTGGAATGATTCATAACCATCATGTATTCTCTGTAAATATGTTTTATTTTCATTTTCATTTCATACAGTCACATATATACTGTGCATAACCNGTGTGTTTTTAAGTCTATCTTTTCTTTTTTTCTATGCCTTTTATTTGTATTGTGAGCCGCCCGGAGTCCTACGGGATTGGGCAGCATACAAGTGTTATTAAACTTTGAATCTTTGAACCTAGAAACTTCTTCTTACGATCTTATCGGTCGTAACTTTATATTTTCCTTTATATTGAAGACTAAGATGCTCTCTCATTTTTGCAGTTCTATATTTTATCTATCACTAAATCTTTACACACAATTATTCAAAAGAAATAATGACATTTCTCTTTCCCCTTTTCTTCTATAAAGTTTTTTTCCTCCTTATTTATATCCTGTGAGGTTGATCTATCTACCAAAACCAGAAGATTTATTTCTATAGCTTCATTCATTATAGCCAGTGAAGTGTAGACTGTGGAAGTCCTCTCTCTCCCCCATGTGGCGATTGGGATTGAAGTTGGTAGCAGTAACTAGCAAGTGATTTCACCAAAGCAGAAGCATGACTGGGATGTGTAGATGCATAGTGTTTTTGAGAAAAGCCAAAGGCTGGAGACCGCCAGCCTTTCACACTCTAGGCTCAGCCCTGCTGTTACAACCAAACCTGCTTTGCATCGTCTAATCCACTATTTCATTAGCAAAACATCTCAGGAAGTCAATAAAGATATGCCAGCCAATCTGTTGGAATCACAGTAATGATTGTTCCATTTTAAAAAGAATCCATTAAAAAAAAACCATTTACTGGGCTTGTAGTTTTGTGCAACAACTCACAAAAAAGTCTTAGCCACCATTCACAGAAGGTTTCTGTACAATAATTTCCTTGCAAATTTTCACAATAGTATTCAATCTTAGCTTTAGTGCTAAAACTATTATACTCTCCTAATGATAAGTTCACAAAAATCTAAACATCAATTATTAATAAAATGTTCAAGATTAGAACTAACCCATAAAATGTATGAAAGTATTATAAATGTATAACCAATACCAGTAGGTATAATCAAAGTTGCTAGAGAGCTTTATTAAAAAAAAACCATAAGTGTTGGAACATACATCTGCCTCAATTGTGCGCAATATGTGATGTACAAGTAGCGCTCAACTTACAAACACAATTGAGGCCATAATTTACCATATTTTTCAGAGTATAAGACGGAGTATAAGGGCCCATTTTTTGTCATAGCCTTATGGAGGCTTATAGAGTGCTGCTGGGGGGGGGGGGGGGGGG